CCTAAAGGTTGGTCCCAAATATCCACTTAATATTCTACAATGTCTTAACATAAAATACACTCTATATGCTTACTGGATTTTCCCACAAGACTATAAGCTTCTAAATGGCAGAAACCACAACTTTCACATTTGTATCCTCAACAATTAGTACTCAATATGGGAGTACTAAATGTCTACTAAAAGAATGTCTGGGGTTTTTTTTCCCCAAGATTATATTTATTTTTTTAGAGGGGAAGGGAGGGAGAAAGAGAGGGAGAGAAACATCAATGTGTGGCTGCCACTCATGCACCCCCCTACTGAGGGACCTGGCCCACAACCCAGGCATGTGTCCTGACTGGGAGTTGAACCATCGACCATCTGGTTTGTAGGCCAGCACTCAACCCACAGAGCTTTACCAGGCAGGGCTGAACATTTGTTCTTTCTTAATTTTCTATGGTTTTAACCACTGCATTTTGGGCACTTATATTTAAATTAGCATCTAATAAATACTGTGTTCAGTTCCTTAATTATTTAATATGGTGTTTCCTAATTTTTTCCTAAAAACTTAAGAGCTGAGTCCACACCATTTACTATTTCTTCATTCTCTTTAGTACCTCAGAGTGCTGGGCACATGGCAAGCACTCAATAAATACTTGATGAACTGAATTAAAAACACAGTATTAGCACGTTAATAGGAGCAACATATCACACCCTACTGATCTAATTAAAAGATCTGGCCTTCTGAAGTGGTAAAGTGTACCCATGTGGAAAATTTAATGAGAAAAAGAGAAATTATCCAATTGGACAGTTAACAGCTTTTCTCTGAGCAAGAATTCCACAAATATTTTATAGATAACAAGAGTCAATCTCTAGAACTCATAGTAAATAATTCAAGGTATAGCCCTGGCTGGTGTGGCTCAATGGATTGATTGCTGGCCTGCAAACCAAAAGGTCGCCAGTTCAATTCCCAGTCAGGGTACATGCCTGGATTGTAGGCCAAGTCTCCAGTCTAGAGGAAACTGATCAATGTATCTCTCACACATCAATGTTTCTCTCCCTCTCTAAAAATAAATAAATAGATAAAATCTAAAAACAGAACCTTAAGGTATATATCCCTGTGCATATTGCAACAAAGGTTTAAGGGGTCTGTCACAAACATAATTGCTTAAATTCCACTAACTCTTAAATCCATAATAGGAGTAAAATACATAAGACTATTTAATAGCAAAATTCAATTAATGCCAAATCAATCTATTTTAAAGATGTATACAGTTATCTTTCGCAATATATAACAAAACAGTTGTTTACTCATACAACAAACACTTAAGTGCCTACTAATGACAAGCGCTGTTAGGGCCCAGGAATACAAAGATGAAGAGAACACAGTTCCTATGCTGGTGGGGTTCTAGCTCTGCCATAGTGCAGAGGTATTTAAGAATAGGGTGTGAATCGTACCTCTTAGAGTTGCTTAACATGCATGCTCTGGGAGTAGCAGTCTGGTGGAAAAGGTGGATAAACACAAACTTCAGGAAATGTGATTAGTGTTAACACAGAAATAAGTACAAGCTATTATGGGTCCACAGAAAACAGTCAACCTACTGAAGAAATCAGGAAAAGATATTGAAGAAACTGACATCCACACATGAATTCAATGTTAGTTAAGGTGTGAGGAAGATACCAAGACAGAAACATCTGGGATGGAATCAAACCTGAAACTGTGGTTGTGAGGAGAGTCAGTAGGGTTCCAAAGCAAACCAATCAACTTAAAGCAAACCGTGGTAGAAGGATTCCCAAATAAAATACTTCTTGCTGTTAAGTTTGATAATAATGAAACATACATACAAAAGATTTTAAACCACCCCATAGTAGAAGCATAAACAGAGTCTTTTAAACAACAGGTGGCATCAGAATTCAAAGAGAGCCAGCCAATCGCTAGAAGTAGAGTTAAAGTATGGATGGGGAGAATGAGCAGAGGGAGGACCTTGTTATGCTGAGAAAGACCAACATTGTTAACAAAAGCAGGGATCCGAACTGCCTGCAGTGGGACCACTGGCAAGTCCAAAGACTCATGTTGGGAAGCACTGGGGGAAAAGGTGGACAGGTGAGTGAAGGCCTAATTTAGAGGAGACTGGACCACAAGCCTAGCAGACTGGACACTGTCTAGCCTAGCAGTGTTCAACTAGTATGTCACAAGAATTTTTAAAGTGTGCAATACTTGACTATTTAGTCAGGAGCACTGACCTCTTTTCTCCCTTGTTGGCTGTTGTCAAATAAAAAAATGACAACAGCCAACACAACAGTATTTTTGCCAGATTGGCAAAAAATACATTTTTTGGGAATGCTGCGGAATTTTATTTTATTTTATTTTTTTATTTAATTATTTTTCAACTATAGTATTCTTTTACTCCCATTCCAGCCCATCCCCCACCTCCCTCCCATTTCCACCCCCCTTAGTTGTTGTCCATGTGTCCCTTATACTAGTTCTGTAAATCCTTCCCCTTTTTCCCCTGAAATTCCCTCCCCTCTCCCCTCTGGTCACTGTCCCCCTGTTCTCTATTTCAGTGTCATTGTTTTTATTTTGTTTGCTTGTTTGTTTTGTTGTTTAGCTTCCTGTTAAAGGTGAGATCATATGGTGTTTGTCTTTCACTGCCTGGCTTATTTCACTCAGCATAATGCTTTCCAGTTCCATCCAAGTTGTTGCAAAGGGTAGGAGCTCTTTCTCTCTGCTGCATAGAATTCCATTATATATATATGTACCATAATTTTTTGATCCATTCATTTACTGACGGGCACCTAGGCTGCTTCCAACTCTTGGCTATTGTAAATTGTGCCGCTATGAATATTGGGGTGCATAGGTTCTTTTGGATTGGTGTTTTGGGGTTCTTAGGATATAATCCCAGCAGTGGAATTGCTGGGTCATAAGGCAGGTCCATTTTTAGTTTTCTTAGGAAATTAGATACTGTTTTCCATAATGGTTGTACCAGTCTGCAATCCCACCAACAGTGAACTAGGGACCCCTTTTCCCCACAACCTCTGCAACATATGTTGTTTGTTGCTTTATGATAGCTGGAATGCTGCAGAATTTTAGTAATCAGTTTATGTGCGCCATGAAGTGGAAAATGCTATTCTAGATTAACAGTAGTTCTCAACCCTGACTACTGAATAGAAACACCTAGTGATATTTAAAAATATACCCATGGTGAGACTCACCCCATATCCAAAGTAAGAGAATCTCAGGTTGGGGTAGAGAGTGGCCCGAGCATTAAAATGCAAAAGCACAAAAGGTGATTCTAACATACAGTCTGGACTGAGAACCAGTGTGCTATATGAAAGAAAGGTAAGGTAAGGCATGACAGACATGGTTAAGATCCAAGCCTGATTTCATTCAGTCCCTGTTTGTAAGCAACAATTTCATTATCCAGTGAAGCTTATCTTCTAACCTGAATTAAATATTTTCAATTTCAGTGTTTCTTTTCCCTTGTTGACCTTGCTAAGCTCTTAAAAGAGAAAAATAAACCTATAAATTTATCTTATTTGACTATTTCACTGATTGCATAGTCTGCAACTTGTAAATTTTATTCCCATGATGTCCCATAGACAACTAACTCTCCTTAGATTCCTACAATGAAGTGCTTCTATATTAAAGAATGTTCGAGGCTGCATTCATATCTGGATTTTATAAAATTTCTCTTTTAAATAGAGTAAGAATATAAAATACCTACATATACCAAAATCACAATGCTTAGACTAAAGCAAAATGTGAGATTAAGTATTCATTCTTGTAACACCTGGAAACATTACATTGTACTGTTCCTAGTATCAGAAGTGCAATAATTACAAAGTATTTTCCTTATTTCACAACAAATACTTTCACAGTACTTCCCAAATAAAGGGAAACAAGAAATATATCCCATATAGCAACTCTGTACTGCACTGAACAAGTGTCACGTGTAGGAGGAAAAACACATCAAAGTGACTGGAGAATGTATGTCAGCCTGTTGATCCCTCAAAAAGCAGATTTGTGTGTCTTTTCCTTGCTTGTTTTTTTTTTTTTAAGAAAAAGCATAGGTATGAATATAGTTTAGGTTCCATGTTACTCACTGAAGGGTTTATTCAAGAAATCTGTACTTTGTTTATAGGTAAGCAACCGTCTTCTTTTTATGCAAACTTAAGTTAGTCGCAACAGTCTTGTTTTGTATTGTTATATCACTATATCTACTTAATGGTAAAAACGGTATGAGAACATAAGTTGGAAGCCTCTAACTGGGAGTCCACGCACAGGCTTATGCAGTTTCTTATTTCCAGATGAAGTTAATAAATCCAAAGGACCCTACCACAGTGTAACCGTAAACGAGGAGGGTAAGTGGAAAGGTAAAAAAAGGTCAGTGAGTGTGGAAGAACCCAACAATCAAGGTATTACACGTTAACGAGTCCAGAAATATTTCTTGGAAATATGGAAAAAGATTCCAAGAGTTGGCTATTAGCTTCCACTGTTCCTACTCAGAAAGGAAAAGAATGGCTTCCAATAAAAAAACGCAAGCCTAACTCTCAGACAAGGGTGAGAGTTAAAAAGCAAATCACGTGAGTCTGACCAGCGGGTCCCAAGGAAATTCAGAGTAAGGAAAGAAGAGGGGATAAAAGAGACAGGAAAAGGTGTACGAGGCGAGCAAAGGCCATCCGGTGTGAACCTAGAGACCAGCTCTTTATGCACCCAGGCAGCGTGAAGCCGCTCTCGCCCCACGCGTATCTGGAGGCCGGGGAGCAGCGCAAGTCCCCCACGGGCCTGGCACCAGGGGGCGCGGGGCGCCCAGAGGTCAGAGAGAAGAGGGGTGCAAGCACCCCACCAAGCTTCACAAGCAGGGGTCCCCAAGAAAGAGGAATACTTTTCGCAGCCCTAGCCTCAGGGAGCCGGGAGGGGGTGGGTGGAGCAGAGCCCGGAGCCGCCCCCCGGAGCCGCCCTCGCAGCCCGGGCCCCCGCCCTCCGCTCCGGCTGTCAGCGACCCCCTCCCGCAGTCACTCACCCGCGGGCTGCGCAGTCTCGGCCGCGGCGGCTGCGGCGGCGGCGACCCCCGCCTGGGTCATGATCCCAGGCGGGTACAGCAGGGATGTCCGACCGCCGGGGCGAATCTCTCCCTCTGCGGCCGCCCCCTGCTCCTCTGGGGCTGGGGGAGCGCGGGCCCAGGCCCTCCTCTCCCCCCGCCCCCGCCGCCTCTTCTAGAGGCCACCACAGCCGCAGCGAGCCAAAGCTTTCAAGGCAGGAGACCCGGTAGCAGCGCGGCCTCAACTTTCCCAGCCCCCCTCCCCCCCGCCCCTCCCCGCCCCACAGCGGCCGCCGCTCGGCACGCAAGCAGCCTACCCTGGGTGCGCCGCACTCCCGCCCCTGCCACTTAGCTCACCAATCCAACTCCGGGGAGGCTACAGTAAGGACCAATCAAGAGGAGGAACGCCGTTGCGCTAGGCTAGAGGGCGGGAGTAGGTGAAGGGAAAACCGAAGAGTAAACGGGCCTCAGGCGGCCCAATGAGGACGGCCGGGGGGCGGAGGTGTGCAAGTTGGGTTGAAGGAACAGGAAATATTCTTAAAGGTAGAGTGATGGGCAGGAAGGAAAGCCATTAGATGAATGAGAAAGAGGTGGGCCTGGTTTCTTAAAGGGGACGCCTTGAGATCCTATAAAAGGTGTTTCAAGAAACTTCTTTGTATCCTGTTCTTCGCTATGTTTTCCACTTTCTATAGACGTTTTTAAGTGGAAAAACTAAAAAGGAAGAGGGCAGAGAAGGCTTCAAGAATGATTAGAGAGCTCCCCTTTGCCTAGAAGGTAGGAAGGCGGGACATGGCTTCGGTGACAAGAAGAAAAATGAGACTACAGACGTCTCAGACTACCTTCACTGCAAGATCGCTGCGGACCTGAAGCTCCCCGAATCTGTGGGCTGTGGTCATGTCATCCTTAAATTTGCAAAATAAATAGATAGATAGATAGATAGATAGATAGATAGATAGATAGATAGATAGATAGATAGATGGATAACGAATTCCTGTGAACTGGAGATGACTGTGTTCAGAAATATCCTGGGGGCCTCCCAGCTGGGAGAAGGGAATATGTGGCATTGGGGGATGAGATTTGGAACCTCAAGCTTGGGGTCCTAGTGACCTAGATCTAGGAGATGTAGAGCTGCGGTGATAGAATGAAGACCTGAGTGTCTCCTAATTCCAGGGTGGGTTTAGAGTCGTGGAACCGTGGTCATAACTTTAGTTTCCCGATTTCACTTAATATTTTAGGACCGCTCCTCTCCTGAAACAGGTGTCCTCCACCTAGTGGTGGTGATCAAAGATTACCAAGTGCTTTCATAACCAGGATTTGTAACGTTCGAGATCTTAGATGTCCAAGAGCTAGACCAGGTAACTTCGGAAAGGTGCGCACAAGGCAAGGCATAATGGGAAATAATTGAGCCTGTGTTAAGAGGAAGCTGACCTCGTATTGAGAAAAAGTGTAAAGTTAAGCAGAAACCAGATCTTATGTTTGTACAGCAGCTTAAAAGTTATATTGAGCCCTGGCCAGGTAGCTCAGAGAATCTGTCCTATGTCAGTATTGCAGTTCAATCCCACGTCAGTGTACAGGTACGTAGGAGAATCAACCAATGAATGCATAAATAAGTGGAACAACAAATCAGTGCTTTTCTCTCTCAAATCAATTTTTAAAAATTAAGAGCTACAGGGAAACAGAAGGCCTTAAATTTACTTACAAAGTATAGTTCTATAAGTAGTCTGGAAATTTTCTTTAACTGTTCAAGTTCTTGGCATATGAAGTTCTAATTGGCCTCTGAATGAACTTAGCACATCCAAATCAAAGCTGCATCTCTGGCTGGTGTGAATCAGTGTATCGAGTGCTACCTTGAGAACCAGAGGTTCACCAGTTGGATTCCTGGTAGGGATTCCAGCCCACAACACCTGCCTGGGTTGCAGGCCTGGTTCCCATTAGGGGGTCCACAAGAGACAGCCACATAGTGATGTGTCTCTCCCTTTCTTCCCTCTAAAAATAAGTATTTTTGCCCTGGCTGGTGTAGCTCAGAGGATTGAGCAAGGCCCTGTGAAGCAAAGGGTCACTGGTTTGATTCCGGTCAGGGCACATGCCTGGGTTGCAGGCCAGGTCCCCAGTGGGGGACACATGAGAGGCAACCACACATTGATGTTTCTCTCCTTCTTTCTCCTTCCTGTCCCCTCTCTCTAAAAATAAATAAATATATTTTTTAAAGTTTTAAAAATAAATATATATTTTTTAAAGCTGCAGGTAAAATCCTAGGATTCTGAGCTTAATAATACTAATAGCACCTCCATGAGTAGTATTAGTATGTAGGAAATAATTTCCTCTGTGATCAGTGTAAGGTATTCTGGTTTAAAAACTACTCTGGTTAATAAATATCACATATATGGTTATGTATGATTTTTCTAAGCAACTGCATTGTATGGAATCTGAAGTAAAGTAACAAATACCTGTAGTTTTAATGTCTCAGAAAAGATGATTTAAGAGATTCTTTGGACCACCACTAAATGCACACTAATACCTTTCTGATACAATTTAGAAGTTTTAAATAAGACAACTTTTTATTTAGTAACAGTTCTCAATGTTAGCTCTTTAATGTTCACTCCTGAGTGAAGCTTACATCCCAGTATGGATATTTTCATTGGCTTTGCCCATACAATATCAGGTTACTGCACCAGTCATAGACGAGAGGAAGGAGGGCATCAAATAATCGCACTAGTCCAACTTTCCAGCTAGCTGACGCCTGCTTATACAAGTGAATCCTGTCTCCTTGTTTTCAGCAAAGTCCATTTTTCACACAGCTCAAGAAAATCTGATTTTCATCCACATACTTGAGAGCCTTCAATGACTCTGAAAGATTATTTGCATTACTTACAAGTCCCCTTCCTTTCATACCGTTTTATTTCGTGACATCTTTTTCCCCTACTTCTAGGGATGAAAGACGAGGGGTAGCTGCTGACAAAACGGATTGGGTATGAGGCGTTGAGGCGGCGCCTGGAGGCAGCTCCGGATTTTGCTCCAACTTCCGGCTCCCAGTTCTAGAAGGCGAGGGCTGCGCAGCTTGCCTAGTTGGTTGAGAGCACTGCGTTAGGAGGCTGGTAGAGTGCTAGTGCGGGTGATGGGTGAATCTCTTCTGCCCAAGGTCTGGACACCCCGCGCCCCCTGGTGCCAGCCCTGGTGCGCTGACCCCAGACATTAAGATGCGCGCGGAGCAAGAGATGCTCCAGGTTTTCATGTTTGCTTTACAGGCTTTCAAGAGATGCAAGCGAATCAAATTTTGAAATCTACATATTTCCCTAAGAAACTTCCCAGTTGTTTTCCAAAGTGGGTGTAACATTTCAACAGCAAAATATGTGGATTCCAGATACTCCACCTTACCTTCCAACTTTGATAGTCTTTTAAATTCTCGCCCTTGGAGGCAGGGGGTAAAGTGGAGTCTAGTTATATTTCCAGTTCTCTAATTACTAGCGGTGTTGAGCATATTTTTGTACATTCATTGACCAGCTGCATAGCTTTTTGGTAGTTTGTCATAACCTTAGGCCATTTTAAAATCAGGATGCTTGTCTTACTGAGTCGTAAAAGTTCTTTGCACGTTGACTAAAAGTTTTCTCACGTATAAGTTGTGCAAATATCTTCACCCATTCTGTATCTCGGAAAAACAAAAAAGCTTTATTGAAGTATGATTGACCCATAACACATTTAAAATGTACACTTATGTCTCAACATGTATACACCTGTGAAACCATGCTCTACAATAAAAAAAAACATATCCATCCTGATGCTCTTTATTCCTTCCTCTTGCTCTCATCCTGCTCTCCAGGTAACCACTAATCTACCATTACACATTAGTTTTCATCTTCTAGAATTTTATATAAATGGGATACTTCAGTATATACAGTATTGTCTTATCTTCTTTAACCTAGCCTACTTTTGGACATTCATCCATCTTGTGCTATCAATGATTAATTAGCCTTTGTTGCTAAGGGTACTCCATCGTATAAACACATCATGTATTAAGCATTGGTGGACATCTGGATTATTTGCAGTTTTGGACTATTACAAATAAAGATACTAAACATCTGTACAAATCTTGTACAGGATGGGGCAAACATAGGTTTACAGTTGTTCATATGAAAATACAATAAACAGTACAAGAATAAACTTTTGCACTCAGAGCTATAAACCAACTTTTGCCCACCTTGTACAGACATTTGCTTTTTCTTTGGGTAGTATACTTAGGTAAATATCCAGTGGAATGGCTCATATTTAAGTGTGCCTTAAAAAACAAATTAAAAAAACTCCTAAATTATTTTCCGAAGTTGCATATTTCAACAACTAGAATGAGAATTTGAATTGTACTATATCTTGCTAACAATGTGGTCTTTTATAAAACTTCACTTTAGTATTTCGTTGTGACTTTATTTGCATTTCTTTAATGACTAATGGTATTGGGCATCTCTTCATGTGCTTACTGCCCATTTTTATTGGGTTGCTTCTTGTTCACAAAGTCTTGTGACTTCTTTACTTATTCTGGACACATATACTTTGTCAGATACATAATGTGCAGTATTTCTTCCAGTTTCTTGGTTATATATTTTTTTAGGATTTCATTTAGTTTTTAAAGAGAGGGGAGGAGAGGGAGAGAAACATTGATGTGAGAAACATACATCAGTTGTCTCCTATGCTTCCCACCGAACCACAACCCAGGCATGTGCCCTTGACAGGGAATTGAACCGGCGACTCATCGCCCAACTGAGCCACAGAGGCCAGGGGTCTTTTCATTTTCTTAAATGTTTGCCAAATAGTAATTAATTCTTAGGTCCAATTTATCAGTTCTTTTATGGATTGTGTTTCTGGTGTTATATCTAAGAAATCATTTGACTAACGCAAGGCCAGAGAGATGTTTCTCCTATGTTTTACAAGTTTCAGTTTTATATTTAGATCCATTAAGCATTTCCAATTGTTGTATGATATGAACATATGGATCAAAATGTGTATTTATGCACTGAGAAGCTCAATTTCTCCAGCACCAATTACAAGGGCCATCATTCCTCCACCGAGTTGCCTTTGGTACCAGCTGTGCTACTTGGACAGGGCCCGGTTGAGTTTCATTACAAGCTCAAACCAGAACCACCCAGCTGAGCTGCTCCTGGATTCCTGACTCAGAAACTGTGGGTGATAATACATATTCTTAGGCTGCTAAATTTGGGATAATGTGCTAAGTGATAGCTAAGACATCAGGAAAAGGC